AGAATATGCAAATCTCTAAGTAGTGGTCTAAGCCATCATAGCCCTTCCGGGATCCGCCTACACATGACAGGCCATAACAATGGAATACTTCTGAATAACATCAATTACGGCGGTCGACAAACCTCACACGTGTCGTCACAAATCACTTGCATAACTTGATCACGTTAAAGGAAAAGATCACTACCACCAATATGCCAATTCAACTATGGCTAACCAATCTATCTCCTCCCAAATTAATTCTTGATTGCCTTAGAAATAATAATAATTCCATTCAACACATAACACACTCCATCCGCACTCATCCCGAGTGACCTTGAATCACGAGACCATGCTGTCTCAAGTCCCACGAACCATTTCATACCTCCCAAATGCTACACTGCGAGTCAAAAATCATAGAACATTATGTGCCTCTTCTCATAAGCTGCTACAAAGCTTGATTCTTAACCGTAGGCTCGAAATCATTAGGCACCACGCTTTGCCCCTTTGAATCCACTAGGACCGTTGTTGAAAGCCACCCGCTCTGACTTGGCCCCGAATATAATCAACTCCATGAATTTTCTAGCACATGAATACCCTCTCGACGAAGCACCCGGCAGAATCACTTCCCTTGAAACCCGCCTCTATACAGGCATAAATCCTGAATCCAAGCTCACTCTCTAGCTGCACAAGTCCATTCACCCCTCGTGGACATCAATTAAATGTGCGGCAAAATCCTTCCAATTCAAAGTTACGTTGTATCCTCCTTCATTTCAAGTAGCTCCTTTCCGTTATATCGAATCTCCTGCCGTATAATAGCCCAATACTTCAATTTAAATGCGTAGCCCCCAATCATCAATCACTAAAATTCCCAAGTCGTTCCAAACTCTTCCTTAAGGTGCGTAGTCATCCTAGTACAAAGCCCATATGCAAATCCGCCACTCTCCCACTTTGGCGGAACTTACCCCTCTAATCGACCACTCGACTTTTGCTTCTTATCCCTGGCCTTCTAGAAATTTTAACCACCGCTTGACACTCCCCACATGTCTTTCCTCATCCTTTGCTGATCAGTTGTTGCCTTAATGAAATCTATCTTCGTAGCACTTGAACCCAACAATTTGCTGCTAACTTTAAACCTTTTCCGGAGATCATCTTTCTCGAGCCGTCGACATTAGAAACACCGATTCAATCCTGAACCACCGCACCCCGCGATATCCAACGGTCTTTTCTCCAATATTATTTCACAACATCCTACCCCAAGGGCAAATTGCAGAAGACCATAACACCGGTGAACTTAACACATACAATCGAGGACGACGACACTACATCGCAGATAAAAATTCCACCATGCTCGAATTTACCAAGTCTCGTTACTCCATCACCCCAAATCTGGACATTCATAGGCCAATTGTTTTTCCTTCGCCGGAAGTGAAATAGCATATCTCTGAATCGTGCACTGAGTAGATTTCCTTTCAACTCATTCACCGCCCCAACACGTAGGCAAGTCTCCTACCATCAAGTCAATACTGTGCGATAACCAATCGCGAGCATCATAACAACCTGTGCATAGCCTCCAAGCTCTTAGGAGCACAACTATCGAGCCGAAACGATAGTAAAATCCTTCCGCAAGGCGACGACAATAGCTCACCCAACTATACCGGGAGAAACATCCCGCACTACATCTGTAGTAACATTACAATTCTTCAATTCTCGATTTATAACAAGCGGTTCGCGTCGCGTAAGATTGAGTAGGAAGGAAACAAGGGCATAAGCCTCAAGGAATCAAGTCGCACGATGAGGAAATCAAGAAGTGGAATTTTCCTAACAGTTACATAGCCTCTCGTAGATAAGTACAGACGTCTCCGTACCGATCAGCGAGACTCTAATAAACCGGCTTGTGATCCATGACTCCTATGAACCTAGAGCTCTGATACCAACTTGTCACGACCCCGGTTCGCCCTCTGTGAACCATCGTGACGGCACCTAGTCTCTATGACTAGGTAAGCCTAAATTGCGGAAAAGAAACCAAAAATTTGCGGAAGTAAAACAATTTAAAACAGGAATAAGAAATAACCAGTGTGTAAATGTGCCGCTCGGCAAACACCATATTTAACGCTCAAAACCAACACATAAATCCAAGACCCGGAAACCCATGAATCACAAGCTAAGAAGTACTACACAACTCTAACTCCAGAATGTCTAACAAGAACTGAAAAATACAGAAGGGCTAGTACTAAACAGCAAGAATATAAAGAGACTCCTCGGTCTGCGAACGCGGCACATATACCTTGAAGTCTCTACAGAAGCGCCTCGCCTCAAGGATGATAAGATTGAGCGAAAGTACCTGGAGCTGCACATGAAAAACATGCGCAGAAGGGGCATGAGTACACCACAGCGGTACTCAGTAAGTGCCAAGCCTAACCTCGGTTGGGTAGTGACGAGGAAGGTCAGGGCCCTACTGAGGTTAAACGAAATATAAGGGTTAACAGTGTGAAATAAACAATGTAAATAAGTAACACAAGATATAAAGACATCAACGACTATCACAGAGGCAAGTAAAACACAGTAAGAGAATACAGCTCAGCTCCAAGATAACAACCGGGGATCTCCCAGGATACCGTCCTGTAGTCCCCAAATATAAATACCATATCCAGTAGATCTCCCGGGTGCAGTCCCGTAGTCCAACTCATAAATGTGCAGGGGGATCTCCCGGAATGCAATTCCGTAGTCCCAAAGTAAAAGTGCAGGGGATCTCCCGGAATACCGTTCCGTAGTCCCAAAGTAAACATGCAGCAACAACAAGAATTCAATCCAATCAATTTCATATCAAAGTGAAGCAGGTAATCCTAGCCTAGCATGGTGCACGTAATACAATTAAGGCAGTTAAGGCAAATTGAGCAATTTAGACAAGTAGACATGCTTCTCTAGGCTACAGCAGGTTTAATTTCCAAACAGTGTAAGTAAGAAAAAGGAAGAACACAATTTAAGGCTATTTTTAATGAAAAATCGGATTTCCAACAATTAGCACAAGTACGTGCTCGTCGCCTCACGTACGAGGCATTTCAATTACCACAATATCAATCCTAAGGGGAAAAGATCCCCACACAAGGTTAGACAAGCCACTTACCTCGAACCGACTCAAAATCAACCCGATACCACGTCTTTGCCACGAGTACTCGACTCCAAATGGCCCAAATTTATTCAATTCAATTGCATATCGTAAATAACACTTCAAGTAACTGATTCTATAATTAAATTCTAAGCTAATACGCGAAATTAGGTAAAATGACCAAAACGCCCCTCAGGCCCACGTCTCGGAATCGGGTGAAATTCACATTTTCGGAATCCTCATACTCTCACGAGTCTATGCATAACAAGAACACAAAAATCGGAGTTCAATTAACCCCTCAAATTCTCATTTAAAGTCTCTTAAATCCCAAACCCTAATTCTTCAATTGTTGGTCTAAATTCCATGATTTACTAGGTAGATTTCACATTAGAAACGAGTTTTAAGACCAAGAATCTTACCTCCAAGCGTTTCTCCTCGAATCCTTCTTCTATCCCCGTCAAAGAGCTCCAAAAACGATTAGAGATGTGGAAATAAACCCCCAAATCGCGGAACCTCTTTTAAAATAATGCCCAGCAGTTTCCGCATCTGCGGTCCCGCTTCTGCGGAAAATATACCGCATCTGCGGTTTCTGAAGAGATGGCCAAAATTTCGCTTCTGCGGCCACTTAGCCGCTTCTGCGGCGCCGCACCTGCAGAACCCAAACCGCAGGTGCGGTTATGACAGCACCAGCAGCTGAAGCTGCAACTTAAACTCCAAATTTTCCTCCGTCAACCATCCGAGTTCACCCCGAGGCCCCCCTGGACCTCAACCAAAGGCACCAACAAGTCACAAAACACTACCCAAACTTGTACCAATCCTTAACACACCTAAAACAACATCGAAACCTCGAATTAACCATGGATTTAAGCCTAAGAACTCCAAAATTTCTCAAAATGCGCTTTCGATCAAAAAGTCTATCAAACCTCGTCCGAATGACCTGAAATTTTGCACACACGTCCCAAATGACTTAACGGAACTACAGCAACTCTCTGAATTCCATTCCGACCCTCTGATAAAAAACTATCGAACCGGAAACTTCAAAATTCGACCTTTCGACATTTCAAGCCTAAATTAGCTACAGACCTCCAAAACACAATCCGACCACGCCCCTAAACCCGAAATCACCTAACGGAGCTAACGAAATGCTCGGATTTCCATTCCGAGGCCGTCTTCACACTGTTTCGACTACGGTCAACTTTCCAACACTTAAGCTCTTATTTGGGAACTAAGTGTCCCAAAACTCTCCGCAACTCAAAACCGAACGTCCCGGCAATTCAAAATAGCAGAAATAAACCTGGGGAAAACAGTTAATAGGGGATCGGGGCGTTAATTCTTAAGACGACCGGCCGGGTCGTCACAGATAATGTTAAAAATAACAAAGTTTTAGTGGTACATTCCTATCACACAAGACGCCGGATGCGAGCCTCCATTTCATCCACCTTGCTCCAATATGATGTGTGACATCCTCATCCATCTCCCCATTATTAATGTAAATGTATATTTGGTCATGATGCATTACAATCTTCGCTAAAGCAATGCTTGATCTGCAATCTGCGCTTCCAAATTCAATTAGATGGCTTTCTGGATGATTCCAAGACGGTGTACCAAATAATGACATTTAGATTGTGCAGAAGACTGTTATCCTGATAACTCTATGTATCTTTCAAATCATCTAGTGATTGCATTCCTGGCACTGACTTATTGGTTTTGAAGAGAAACATCTTTATTTTGACGTAGAAACCTTCTACTCCTCATAGAGTATTTGTATTGCAAGTTGGTTGGCTCCATTACAATGCTTTCTTGTAAACTACTAAATAGGAAAGGTATTCCCTTAATCTTTTATATCATTAGAGGAAAAGGATAATATTGCTGATCCAGGGCATGGAATTCGATTTGCGTTCTCTATATGGTGCAGGTTGATGTCAAATGTTTCAGGAAGCCATTTATACTATTTCAGTGGATGGGAATGAATGCTCTCATCCTCTATGCTTTGGCTGCTTGTGACCTCTTTCCCGCAGCCCTACAAGGTTTCTATTGGTATTCACCTGAAAACAACTTGGTAATCATCTTCTTTCCAACAAATGTCCGTTCCTCTAGTAAACTTATCTCCTGAGAAGCTATTTCTGATGTGTTCCACGAAACTTCTTTCGGCAAGCAGTGTTTGCGGAAGATCAATGATCAACTAGAGCACCCCAAAGATATTTCTGTTTTTGTGTCCTAATGGATAAATTAGTAGTATGAATTTGGATGATTCTCAGTAAAATGGTTTTGGACTCTGGTGGAAGGGGGTGGGGTGGGGGGTTTCATTTGAAATTGGGACCTCTTGACCAGTTAAACTAGGCTGACTACCCTTCAAGCACTCTGCACCTGTCCTCTCTCTCTCTATCTATTACGGCTTTTCTTCAGCCATCATGCTGCATAGTGATATTTTATGGCGTCATGCACATAATAGCTTTCATACTAGTATATTCCCCTCAAGTCGCTATACGTTCAATTTTTTCTTGTTAACAATATTCTATCCATCTTTTGTGTAAGAAGCATCAAATTAAATAGCATCCTTTTCTAGCAACTCTGCTGCTTCCTTTAGGTTTCCAAGTTTGTTTACTGCATACTCTTTAGGTGCTTTTGGAGACGTACAGATAGTATCTATATCAAAATGATGCTTCTCTTTAATGAAATCTAAAGTTCCAAATTAATTGGAATATAGGTTGACATCACAGAAAGGTTCCTTCAAGCAGTATTTCATTCAAAGAAGTGGGGTACTCTGGTATTTGTGATGCTTGAGATACTGTTTTGGGGCTTGGTTGCTGGATTCCTTCATGCAAAAAAGGTTTATGTAAAGCTATGAAGTTGCTGACGGAAATGCTTTTTGCACTGAGTGGGTGCCGCGCTCTCTTGATCATGCCCAAATGTTTCAAAAGCATGCATTCAGTGAGTTCTTCTGCAGCAAATCCAGAAGATAACTCAGATTCTCATAGCATTATACTTTACTGTCCTCATGGCATGTATATAGCTGTGGATAATTTATTACTGTAGAATGGTAGATTATGAACAGTTTCCAGCTTTCTCCTCGTGTAGTTATGCCATTACAATGTGCTTCTGGAAGATATGTATTTACTATTTAGTCCTGTCACAAGATGACATCACGTTGTAAATTACAATATCTAGCTCTCTTTGTTCTTCTCTTCTATTTCCCTACTCCTAGCTGGTCCTGATATGGAATGAAGTTAAAGCTATAGCATCAATTTGATGATAATATATTCAAGGAACTTATTCATAGAAAACCTAGACTCTTCGCAGGAATAACTGGCAGTAGGGACAAATGTTGTTGGTGGTGTTTGTT